GATCTAGGTGTAAACTAGTCCTGATGCATACGTCTCCACATCTTCCTATAATTTTTCATTGATAAATTGCCGGGAAAGACGGTACGTGAAACTTAACACCTATGTCTGCAAGTTGGTATCCTCTCAAACTGAAGGCGCATGATGCCTGGTTAGTTCAAGCGAGGAAATTCAGACGGTGAGCAAGAAGGTGCCTATCAGTGTATTTGAAGGAGTAATTAAATCCGGTAACATAGCACGCTATCCTCTTTGAAACATCATTTATCGCGCATTTTTGACTTTGTCGGATCGGAATTTTAAAAATTTCCGTAGACCCGAAAATATCCATGGAAAAACTCAAACTCTAAATCTCAAGGAAACTGGTTTGGGAGCATGGGTTACTCGTTGTATTTCGACCACTTACACGGGCTCTGACACAGACTTTATAGCGCTTTTTTAACCCTGTCAGATCGAAATTTCCAAAATTTCCTGTGGAAGAAATACTGAAAATTGTGAGCTCAAGATATTCTTAGGCGGGGGAACTGGCATTGGAGCATTAGGGTTTCGCTCTTTCCCAACTATTTGCACGGAATTCATTATTTACAGCAGGCTTTTAAATTTGTCGGATCGAAGTTTCAAAAAGTTTTAGAAACAGAAAATATCCTTTAGAAAATAAAAACTCACATTGCAGAGCTCCAGATTCTCAGCCGAGGAGACTGGCACGGGAGTGTAGATTTTCATTGTTTACCGACCAGTTTTTTTGACTCCGTCATTTACTTTGTCGGATCAAAATTTAAAAAATTCCCATAGGCCCAAAAATATCCATGCTTGGAAGAAACTCAAAATGATAAGCTCCAGATTCTCAACCAGGAAACAGGCATGGACGAGAGCATTGCTTTTTTGTCTTTTTCCGGTCAGTTGCATTGACTTGGAGTCATTTTTGCGACCAATATAAACAAACTGTGAATAAATTTTTGAACTTCGTCGTACTTTGTTTCAATTTTTTTTTTTTTCAGATTTCCCTGGAATTTTTATCAACATTAATAGATTTTTTTTTTCACGAACGAAGAGAAAAATTTGCGACAGAATGCAAAAAAAGCCCGAAATGCTATCAGCAGAGCTCCTTTTTTCTGGATGGAATAATTACTTAAAGTTTCTTTTGCCTTCGGTTTGCCGATGCAGAACTGAACGTCAGAGATGAAATTCGTTGGTTTTTTCCTGTTGTTCCATCAAAAACCTTTTATCCGTATGGAAGACTGTTGTTACAGGTTTAGCAATGCTGCGGACCCCAACTGGTTGCCCCAGCCTTTAATGGGGTAGTGGAGATGGTCACCGGCTCCTAGCCGTATGAACCACCCATTAAAAGGGCTGACAGGGCTATGAGCTGTGGTGAGTAGGTTCCATCAGAATCAGTGGCCGTATAAGCAAGAAATCTGTTGTGAAAGGTGATCATGTCGGTTTCCCGCTACTAAACGGCCCATGTTACAAAAATATTTGTCATTTTGGGCATTTAAGTGCTTATATCTTTTTGAAAACTCAATGGATCTTCATGAAACTCTTCCACTTTGTAGGCCTAATTTAGATGCGTCCGTAGACACCAAGATCGTTGGAATCCGTGCCGTCGTTTGGGCTGCAGTCGAGTTAGAGCCGAATCAATTTTCAGAATAAGGGAGTTACGTGCGTCTATGGTTGGCTGCCACCTTTTTCGTTTGGACGCTTTCCAGTGTTGACGAGTTTAGACTTGGTCCGGAGGTGGCTACCGCCACCCATGATAGTTAATATAGGAAGTTAAACACGTGTGTCAAATCGACCAAATATTTGTGTTGAAAATTCGTGTCGATAACCTCGTTTAAATGTTATCGACAGCCTCCAGGATCGAACCTGCGCCACCTGCGGGCTCTGACTGTTGAAAATAATCGACCAAGCTATGTTAATGCAAAGCAAAGCTAATGGACAAAGAAGACAAAAAGGATATGGAGGAATCCTATTGGTTGAAGCGGGTGGTTACAAATGGATAAAGGAGGTAGGTAATAGAGTAACTGGATTACATTTTGCAAAAAGGAACCACTATTTCTGGCCAATTTTAGAAACAACATATATGCCGTTGGTTTCCCTATGCAGATTTGTGCTTTTTTGGGAGAGCCACAGATAGTGGTTCCTTATTGCAAAATGTAATCCAACTAACGGCAACTCACGAAAAATCCTTTAGTCAGTCCACCATTTTCCTCCATGGTGTATGAGAGTCACCCATTTCAACCAATAGGATCGCTCGATACTCCTAATGTCTTCTTTGTCTATCGCTTTGTCTATAAATGTCAACAATCAGCCCGTTGGATCACATCTGCGATAGTCCAATGCGCTATAGCCACTTAAATTGTATAAGTCGCCACCTCTGAGCAGGGGAGCAGAAAAAGTGTACATAAAGTTTTTCTTCATGATCCAATGTCTGAGAGTATCCTTCGGTTTGGGTCCATTTAACACAAAATTGTGTTCAGCAACCAAGTCCTGTAGGTTGACCTGACACCAAAAAAAGAAATATAAAGCAACACAGAGCGAAATCTCTCAAGGAAATTTTAAACGCGTAATACTGGAATCGCTAATTCCTGACACATGCAAGAGTTCCATCTATAAATCTGCCGTGCTAAGGAAGAAACCTGTATGAACATTCGAGAGTTGCCAAATTTGCCTAGATAAAACATGCATTTTTGATGACATTCATGCACATATTTCCTTAAAATTTTCAGATATCTTAGATTAAATTGTGTGCAAAATTTCTGAAAATTTTGGAAAAAAATATTCACAAATTTCCCAGTAAATTCGGTTTTTATTGAAGGAAACTTGGCAACGTCTGAAGGCTCATACGGTGTTCTTCCTTAGCACAGTAGAAATGCTCCCTGACGACACATTAAAAAAGCGTATGGTATCCAATGGTGGAAATTCGGCTGATGTTGGTTAGAGTATCTTTATAGACAGAGTATGGCCATTCGTATCTTTTTACTATAGGAAAACTGTGCCGCTTTTTGATGCCGCTTTTTTTGCTGATGACCATACTTTTTGTTTTTTTAGCCGTCACTTTTCACTCAAAACAGTTGATGAAAATCGCTGAAAAATCGTTTTAAGTCGTGTTTTCATATACCACAGTACGGGCACCTTGGAGTCACAAATACTTCCTTCGACAAAATAATTCTAACTCTCCTTATCTTCCATAAGAGAAGTCCCTGTTTTTCATCACTTGTTTTGAGTGAGTTTGCAAAGCAGCAAAAAGGACTACGTGCAAAACGGGCCATTTGGGGCTCGAGGCGGATACCTTTGAGACTTGCCCTATTCATCCACCTAACAATGCCCCATCTTTTCCCAAAGTTTCAAGCCCCCCAAAAATTTTGGGGAGACGCGGCGGGGGGTCAAAGTTAAAAACCGGTAAAATTTTCGCGAATTTATTGCTCAAAAACCAAGAAGTTTTGGAAAACGCGGTTTAAACGAGCGTATTCAACGTGACGAGAGCTTTCAGGAAATGTATAACATCATACGGTTTTGTCAACTTCAGCTCGAGTTATCGCCTCCGAAGCGCCGGAACGCTCAAAAAAGACCCCTTATTTTTTCACGTTTGGGCCGATTTAATAAAAAGCCATTTTTTTATTTTGATGAAAAACTGATATGTTGTTCCTGACTCTCTGTAGCCCCTCTAGCTCTTTACTGTATGCTGGCGAAATGTTTTGGTCGCAAGTTATAAGAGCGGAAAGGAGCGAATGTCGGGAAAATCGGCTATTTTAAACTGCGCGCGGCGACGGATCAAGAGACATGTGGCAACAATGCGAGGTCGGCAGAGGAGTATGATACGGCGAACTGAGTGGGAGGGGACGTTTTCCCTCCGATCAACGCCGCGCGGGCAGTTTAAAATAGCCGATTTTCCCCACATTCGCTCCTTTCCGCTCTTATAACTCGCGACCAAAACATTTCCCCAGCATGCGGTAAAGAGCTAGAGGGGCTACAGAGAGTCAGGAACGACATATCAGTTTTTCATCAAAATAAAAAAATGGCTTTTTTTTAAATCGGCCCAAACGTGAAAAAATAAGGGGTCTTTTTTGAGCGTTCCGGCGCTTTGGAGGCGATAACTCGAGCTGAAGTTGACAAAACCGTATGATGTTATACATTTCCTGAAAGCTCTCGTCACGTTGAATACGCTCGTTTAAACCGCATTTTCCAAAACTTCTTGGTTTTTGAGTAATAAATTCGCGAAAATTTTACCGGTTTTTAACTTTGACCCCCCGCCGCGTCTCCCCAAAATTTTTGGGGGGCTTGAAACTTGGAAAAAGATTGGGCATTGTTAGGTGAATGAATAGGGCAAGTCTCAAAGGTATCCGCCCCGAGCCCCGAATGGCCCGTTCTGCACGTAGTCCTTTGACCCTTGTCTTTCAGAAACTCTTCTTTTAATAGATTAAGAGGGCGTACGAGAATCATTGGGCCGAGAGATGCATTTGTGCTTCTGAGGAGGTCCTAGTAGGGTCGAATAACACGATTCTCATAGACATCTCAGCGATTCTCGCCAATTTTTTTGAGTGACTCGGCTCCTTTTGAAGTATATAATCGATGCTAAAATATTCAGATTTTTTGCAATTTGTTCCACTAAAAGTCCTAATTTTCCCTTCGTTGACTGGACTACTATGAGACATCCATCCTCGGACCATTGAAAAGTGGTGTGGGCAGCAGGCTCGATGCACACTGTGAGAAAATTAATTATAAAAATTATCCGTCGCGTCGGAATAAAGGTGGTATCGGAGACTTTGGGTTATCAATTAACGAGCGCTGATAAAATACGTATTTTTCTCGTCAATTAATGAGATATTTGACATTTGTCAATTCAAATGTGTGGTGAGAAGATGCGCTGCCAGTGTTATCAGGTTTCACTAACAATGTTTTCTGCAATTGTTTTTGCATTGTTTCTGCACTTTCTGACGAACAGATTTTTGGGCTCTGTGAGGAGAATTCAACCAAGTAAAGACGTATGAAATTATCAGTGCTCTATGCCGCTATAAAATTTGCATTCGCACATCACATGATTTAGAAAATGAGGCAACGTGCGCGCGAGTGCGACCTGCTGTGACCTCCATTTATCTACATTTTTTTTCTTCCTTCCCTCCAATGACAAGACGTGATGATGCAGTTGAATGAGTTTTTGGTTCTTACCGCTGATACGACAACAGTATCCGTTTTCACTTCCCGTCTAGCTAGCCGTCTTCCAACCCAAAGATGAATCGATCCATAATTTTACTGCTCTGGATACTTGTAAGTAGCTTCATTTTTCGCAGGTCCTAACTTCAAACACAAGAGGGGCAGGGGCTTAAGAAATGCCCTCCCCCTCCTCCCTTTAGAGCACCCATCCACTAACTTTTTCTCCGTAACGGCCAAAAATTGAGCTTCGGACAAAAACATCCCAGGCAAAAACAACCCCAAAGAATTAAATAAAAAAATTTCAGCCCCCCAAAACCCCATTTTGAGGGAGTGTTAAGGGGGTGCTATTCGTTTCTCGCATATTTTAAATAGCAAGGGTATGTTTTGACTTCGGATTTATATTCAATGGCTAAAAATAGGAAAATTTGTTCTATGTTTTTTTCCGTAAACCACCATATGTTGGAGTTATTAACGTGGCATTTTGGAGAATTTTTTTTGGCAAATTTCAATTAGACACTAAAGGCGTTAAAATTATCCGATTTTCAACATATATAAATCTTCTAGGAGGAAAGATTAATATATTTTTATGGATGTGCCACTTGACCCCTGTTAATCCAAAGTTGTGGAAGCCACGATTAGAGGCTCGTAGCTTTGCCGCCGGGTCGCAAAGCTGTTCTGCTCTGGCTCTGCCGTTCTAAGGAAGAACGTCGTATGAGCCTTCAGACGTTGCCAAGTTTCCTCCAATAAAAACCTTTACTGGGAAAATTGCGGATGTTACTTTCAAAAATTTGTAGATAATTTTGTGCGCAATTTAATCCAAAATACAAGAACTTTACAAGGAAAAATATACAAGAATGTTTTCCAATATACATGTTTTATCAAGGGAAATTTGGCAACTCTCGAATGTTCATACGGCGTTCTTCCTTAGCGCTTTTCAGTGCTGCGGGGATACTTCCCATCGACGACTGAAAAAGTTAACTAAAAGGAAACATATTAAATTAACAGCATAACCAGAAAAATGTTGAATTGCAGAATGAACCGCGCGTTTAGAATTGCATGATCGATGTCGCTGTTACTTTGATTTTAAAGAAAAAAAGCAGCAAAAATTACATTGGGATACAGGGGTATGTTATTGATTTGGTCTCTGAAATAATTGAATTACTTAGCTTGTGCTTTGAATTGAAACAAGGCAGTAGGTACTTCCAATTTTGTGTTCGAGTGTTCGTTCAAATGAAGTGTCATCGATGGAGAAAATTTTATCGGAGTAAAATTGTGTCTTCGGAACACAAAGCAGTGCATTTGCTGGCTGGAACACGAACGCGGCTGCGTATCATTCGCGTGTCGCCGCTCAGATTTTTCTTCTGTGTTGCTTTAATTTCTCTCATTTTTTCCCTAGACCGTTTAACAAATTATCAGTCTGATCTTACCTTATACCTGTGAGTTGTGCTCAAGCCTTCAAATGCAGTGCTTTGTGTTCCGAAGATACATTTTTACTCCAATAATATGTTCTCCATCGTTGACACTTCATTTGAACAAACACTCAAGCACAAAATTGTGAGTACCTACTGCCTTGTTTCAATTCAAAGCACAATCTAAGTAGGTAATTTAATTATTTCAGAGACAAAATCAATAACATATCCGTGTATCCCGATGTAATTTTTGCTGCTTGCTTTCTTTCTTTTAAATCAGAGTAACAGCGACGTCGCTCATGCAATTCTAAACGCGCGGTTAATTCTTCAATTCAAAATTTTTCTGGTTATGCTGTTAATTTAATATCTTTCTTTTTCGTTAAATTTTTCAGTTGTTGATGGAAAGTACCCCCGCACCAGCTTTGCAACTCGGCGGCAAAGCTACGAGCCTCTCCCATAATGGCTGTTTTGTGGTTTGAATTCTTGACAGCGTGTGGGAGATGGTTTGTAGCGAAAATTTTCACCTTCAAACTACCTACTTTTTGTTGGGAGCATGAGAGTAGATTCGGTCTGCCGTGTGTGGCAACACTTGTATACCTCACCGAGAGGGGCTGGCTCTCGAGAAAGCACCAATAGATTACTGTCATGGCGTCCACCTAATATTGTCTCGTTTCTCTTGTCGTCGGTCCTCACAACCCAACAGACACAGGCACAAGGAATACTCATCTACCCGGATGATGGAAGTTCAGAAAATGAGGCGATTCCACTAAGACCTCTCTTGGTAAGCTAACCTTTATATTATACTAGCTGTGATCAGTTCGCTGTGCGAGCTCTCACGCCTAGCCGGGGAGTGACCCTGGATCCCCGGTTCGCGACGAACTTGCGACTCGCTCCGCAAGACGCCCCTCATAGCTAATGGCATTGAAAATAATAATAATAATAATAATAATAATAATAATAATAATAATAAGCCCTCAAAAGCCCTTAGGCCATGGCTGCCATCTTGGATTTTGAAATTTTGTAAATCTGACCAAAAATTCGAATTTCCCGTTGAAAAATACCTTCGGATACCGAGTCTCACGAAAATCGAGTGAACAAGACCCGACTTAGCATTTTAGACATTAATACACAACAACGCCGCTAGGGACGAATTCGTCCATGAAGTAGTGCGACTAGGAGGCTTCAACCACGGAATTCTTCCAAAAAAACGCGAAAACTTGTCGTTTTGAAAATTCAGATTTTAAACGTTAAGTACATTTTATTCAATACGAGATGAAAGCACAAACCAGTTTTGAATTATCGACAGTATCACCGTGATTCCAAAAATACACTACACAACATATTATTCGCTCACAAGAAAAAACAATGAATCAAATTAAAATCATGGCAAGGTCCACATCCGAAAATGGCGACGATTCCCATCTACCAACGCGCGCTCTCACCAATGGTAGATGTACCATTGGTAACATCCGCTGCAAAGACCGACCGGAATAGCAGCTCCAGGTGCTAGCACCAGAGCCACTAAAACAAGTCTGCAAAAATTCTGTTATCTGTAATATTTAATTCCATTTAATTTTCCATTGAGAATGGCTTTAAATTGCTTCCAAGACGTTCCAGTTTTCAAGAACTCTCCGAGGGAGGCCCTCCGAAACCCCCCTCTGCAGCTGGGGGAGTCCCCCCAGATCGCCCTTAGCCCAAGTTCTATATCCTTCTGTGCCCCCTCCACAAAGAATGCCTAGTTCCGCCCATGTACTCAGGGCGTTACTTACTGTTAGTAACAAATGTGATTGTGCAAGCAATTTTTAGGTTTAAAGTGGTCTGTAATTTTCTTGAGAGATCCGGAAAGTTACAGACCTCTCTAGTAGCAGAATCTGTTTGACTAACATTTCAGAAACATCTCAAAAGTCTCAAACTTGTATCATCTCATTGAAACGATCCAAAAACATTTTTGAAATATATAATTGACACGAAACACTTAGAAAGTTTCATTAATATAAATTTGAAACGTTTTAAAAACGTTTTCTTTTTAAATAAAAATATCAAAATCAAAACGTTTCAGAAAAAAATTGGAAAATAATTACAGTTAAAATAATGAAACAAAATTTAAATGTTTCCAAACTATCTTGGAATCATTATTGTGAAATCTAGCTCCAAATTTTTTACCGAAAAAATGTTTTTAGAATAAATTTAAATTTTTTAAATTTTAGTTTTCTGATGCTAGATGTAAATAATTTTAAAATGTTTCAAAAACAGCTTAAAAAGATTTTTATGCGATCTTTCAGAAACGTATCAAAAATATTTCAGAAATATTTCCTACGATATAAGAAATTGAAGCATTTTATTTAAAACATTTTTGAAACAAATTTAAAACATTTCGATCTAGTTTGATCTTTGTAACGTTGAACTGAGTCAAAATTATTTTCCAAACATTTCTTCTTCATCTCATTAATCTTTGTTAAAACGTTTCCAAAACAAATTATGAATGTCATCTGAAATGGGTGGTTTTAGTTGAAATATTTGGGACACATTTTGAAAATGTTTCAACAAATCCTTTTCAAAACATTTTCAAAATGTTTCTAAAACCTTTTTGAATATTTTGTTTGAATTTATACGTCACTTAAAAATGTTTTTGACACGTTTTAGAAATGTTTCATCGATTAACATAGAAACATTTCTGGGACCTTTCTAAAACTTTTCCTGGTTCAAACTGAATCCACCAGAGGGCGTTAACGTTTAATTTTTCAATTTTACCAAGTTTCAGCTTAATTTTTCGTCTCAAGCTATACTTTTTGGACATTTAATTATGTGGAGGTTATAAACACGTTTGATTCCTGGTATGAATCGAGTTCATCTCCATAAAAGCTCATAAGTTATGGATTATTTAGAATATTGAAACCGTACATCGTGCTTTGCGTATACTTTTCTAAAGTGAAGGTGTTCTAATCCCTCTAATAGGTTGATAATGATGAAGTGTAACGATTCAGCCTTCAGGCATGATTGGTATCAAGGGATTCCTGTTGTGATGGTTCTAATTCTACAGTGACATTAGTTAAAACAAATGTCTGAAAATTTTTGATACTTAGCCCCTAGTTAACCCCCGAAGAAACACATTTCTGAAACATGCAAACATTTCTAAAACATTTCATAGTGAACAGTCAGAACCTAATTTTCTGAAACACATATTACAGAAATGTTGCTGAAACGATTCAGTGAAACTTTGAAACATCCTCAATAGGTTTCAGAAACATCTTCCCACGGTGTAGGCGACACAAGAATTTGGGGTGACATAGAGAAGTGTCTGAAACGTGTTAAAAACTGAATGAACACATTCTGAACGTGTTTAATATGTTTCGATGAAACGTAAGAAATATTTTGAAAACCATCGAAATGCTTTGGATACGTTTCTGAAACAATTTTGTGAGAGCATCAATCACCTTTCCTTTCAAAAATATGTTTCAGAAATGTTCCTGAAACGTATCAGTGAAACTTTGATACATCCTCAATAGGTAACAGCAACATCTGCATAGGGTGTCAGTTTGACAAAAATTTGGGGTGACATAGAGAAGTGTCTGAAACGTGTTGAAAACTGAATGAAAATATTTTGAACGTGTTTAAAATGTTTCGATGAAATGTGTTGACAATGTTTGTTGATTTCAGTGACACATTTTTGAAACATTTTAAACACGAATTGTGCTAGAAGGGATATGTGGCTAAGTACATCCTAAACATCTTAATTTTCATTGGTTCATTTGCAACTTCTTGCGATTCCGTGAGTTAAGAATGTTATTGCAACGCAAGATCGAAGATTTTCTGTTCTTTCAGCCAAAATAATTACAAATTAGCTTCAATGCTGTCCATATAGATAACCAACGGCAATACGACTGAAGGCGAAGAGACACTGATCCAGGTTGTACGGAGTCAAGTTAATAGGATCCTTTCATATACGGATGAAAAAGTTCGTGCAGAAGTGTTATTCACCCATTTGTTGTTAGTGGAGACACAATTTCGACAAATGCAGACAAACCTTCAACAAATTATTAGCGAAAAAGCGATACTTTCTGCTGTAAATGTAAGTCATAATTTTTTATGTATTTTGAGTTTTTGACAGACTAAATGCTTTTGTAAACTGATGAATAGAAATGAAAATTTTACTAGTCAATAATCACTTTTGAAAGTTCAAAATTGGTTTGTTTAAGCAAATTAATAGGTACTTTTAAACCAACCTTATTTGGACGTATTTATACGAAAGGGTACTAAGCGCCAAATTTCCAAATTTCAGTTTTTAACGGATCTGGATTCTCCATGTAATAGGCTGCTCTCACACGTAAATATGCCCCCAAAATACTAATTTCATCCCCTGGAATCAGCCCCTGAAAAATCGCAAAACAGGGAATCAGCGATTACGAATAAAATCAAAAGGAACTATATGTAATTCCCTTTGATTTAATGCGCTAACCCGGATTCCGAATTAAATCAAAAGGCGCTATCTCCACTTGAATCACTTGCTTGACGCGCGCGCGGCGAAGCTTGGTGGAAACTTGGTGAAATTTAGTATCGAGGGGTATTTTTGGACGAGAAACTCGAATTTCGGGTCAAATTTTGAAAATTCAGAAATCCAAGATGGCGGACATGGCCTAAAATGCTATCTCGGCCCCTGTCCAGCCGATCTTGGTGAAACTTGGTATCAGGGGGTATTTTCGCATGGGAAACTCGAATTTCGGGTCAAATTTTGAAAATTCAGAAATCCAAGATGGCGGACATGGCCTAAAATGCTATCTCGGCCCCTATCCAGCTGATCTTGGTGAAACCTGGTATCAGGGGGTATTTTCGGACGGGAAACTCGAATTTCGGGTCAAATTTTGAAAATTCAGAAATCCAAGATGGCGGACATGGCCTAAAATGCTATCTCGGCCCCTGTCCAGCTGATCTTGGTGAAACTTGGTATCAGGGGGTATTTTCGGACGGGAAACTTGAATTTCGGGTCAAATTTTAAAATTTCATAAATTCAAGATGGCGGATGTGGCCTAAAATGTTATCTCCTATTTAAACGCGCATCGCCAAAAAATCCCAGATGTCGTCCCCTGAGTGACGGTCACATATCGACCGTGCGTTCCCTCTGGCTCGATCGATGTCAGTGTGCACTGACATGGACAAGGGGCTTTTAACGAGCGAACAAATTAACGAACCCATCGGAATCACTTAATTTTCATTAAAATCACTGTTAGGTACTTTATTGGAATCCGAACAGTATTTAGAAATTCATGAGTATTAAGAGCGCGCTGGAAGGATTACGTGGTCAAAAGCGTGACCGTCACCTAGGGGTTCGTCAGGCCCCATCTTGACTTCCTCGGAGACGCGAGTTTAAATGGGAGCTCAGATTACGCAACTTCGAACTTGTTTTCCATGGGTTAATAATGTTTCAAAAAATCGGAGAAAATTCCAGCGAACTGTGCGTACTCAATCCTCCAAAAAAATGCAAAAATTAAAAATTACTGAATAACCTCATTGTTAAAATTTTAAACTCCGATATGNAGTGTCTGAAACGTGTTAAAAACTGAATGAACACATTCTGAACGTGTTTAATATGTTTCGATGAAACGTAAGAAATATTTTGAAAACCATCGAAATGTTTTGGAAACGTTTCTGAAACAATTTTGTGAGAGCATCAATCACCTTTCCTTTCAAAAATATGTTTCAGAAATGTTCCTGAAACGTATCAGTGAAACTTTGATACATCCTCAATAAGGTAACAGCAACATCTGCATAGGGTGTCAGTTTGACCAAAATTTGGGGTGACATAGAGAAGTGTCTGAAACGTGTTAAAAACTGAATGAAAATATTTTGAACGTGTTTAAAATGTTTCGATGAAATGTGTTGAAAATGTTTGTTGATTTCAGTGACACACTTTTGAAACATTTTAAACACGAATTGTGCTAGATGGGATATGTGGCTAAGTACATCCTAAACATCTAAATTTTCATTGGTTCATTTGCAACTTCTTGCGATTCCGTGAGTTAAGAATTTTATTGCAACGCAAGATCGAAGATTTTCTGTTCTTTCAGCCAAAATAATTACAAATTAGCTTCAATGCTGTCCATATAGATAACAAACGGCAATACGACTGAAGGCGAAGAGACACTGATCCAGGTTGTACGGAGTCAAGTTACTAGGATCCTTTCATATACGGATGAAAAAGTTCGTGCAGAAGTGTTGTTCACCCATTTGTTGTTAGTGGAGACACAATTTCGACAAATGCAGACAAACCTTCAACAAATTGTTAGCGAAAAAGCGATACTTTCTGCTGTAAATGTAAGTCATAATTTTTTATGTATTTTGAGTTTTTGACAGACTAAATGCTTTTGTAAACTGATGAATAGAAATGAAAATTTTACTAGTCAATAATCACTTTTGAAAGTTCAAAATTGGTTTGTTTAAGCAAATTAATAGGTACTTTTAAACCAACCTTATTTAAAGTGTACCTTGTAGAGGTTTTAAAGGAATGGAAAAGATGCTGTTCAGGGATGGGCGTCCCGCTACGGGAAGATGACACTCTTTATACTCTGTGTTTTGCTGCTGATGAGGTGGTAATAGCTCAGGACGAAGAAGATGTGAATTACATGACGCGCAAGTCGGTGGAAGTATACCGTAAGTGGGGGATGGAAGTCAATGTGGTAAAGACGGAGAAGTTGGTTATTGGTGGTGATCATCAATGCATTGAACTGGAGTAAACTGGAGGATGGTCGGAGAATGCAGGACTGTGAAGAGTAACTAATGGTAGATGGGACTACCGTAAGGTAGGGTAGGCAAAGACAAGGACAGAATAAACTTAGAATGAGTTTATTCGGAACGAACAAGGGTTTGCCTCAAAATGGCCTATTTTTCGAAGCTTGGCTCACGCAGTGGGTTGTATCGAATTTTTGACCATAAATTCGAGTTTTACGAGTAAAATTACACATAGAAATCGATACCTCACTTGCCAAATTAAAATTCTGGAGCAAGATGCTGAGCTCGGGGATTTTTAACAATTCGCCATTTCGACATTGGGCTACTATTTTGAGGCCAGAAATGTGATTCAAAATTCCTGATCTTTCGTAAACGAGCTAAGAATATCTTCAAGAGGATTTGTGCAAAATTTCAAGCAAAAATATGCATTTCCGTCCGAGTTACAGACTATACGCCGCCCCGGGGTCTGTTTTTTCCCAACTGTGCGCCGCCTTCAAATCACTAACTACAATGCCGAAATCGACGGTGCAAGTCGGCAATCACATAACTCGTTTGCGGTGTCTAAAAATCTCCGCAACTATGTTATTTTTTTAAAGGAGAACAGATGGACATGATTCCTTGAAGTTTTTGCAGAATTTTCCTCGCACATAGAAGAAAAACCATGGAAGTTTTAAATAATTACCGTTGAGTAGTTTTCCGTTTAAAAATTAAAGTATGACAGGAAGTCTGCGACGTCGCAAACCGAGTTATGTGATTGCCGACTTTCACCGTCGAAATGTTTTTTCAAAGGGGAAACCATTGCATATCCATTCAGTTTGCTTGCTGATTTCCATTCTCATCCATCCTCGTAGGAGCTAGGAAAGAATATGAAAATCAAATTTACTGCGCCGGGTAGTCTCGGAAAATTCCCTTTCTTTATACGCCTTCCTAAATGATTCTAATACACCGATGGAGTGATTTTTTCAAGGGAAAACCATTGCATGTCCATTCAGTTTGGGTGCTAATTTCCATTCGCATCCATCCTCGGAGCTGGAAAAATTATGAAAATCACAATTCACCGCGGGCAATCCCGGAAAATTCCCCACTTTTTACTCCCCTATAATTGCTTCAAATAAAACGATGAAGTGATTTTTCACGGGAAACTCGTTGCTTGTCCCTTCGATTTCGGCTGCTGAAAGCCACGCAGGCATCCTCGAAATACGGATAACCGCGCTCTTTCACCGTAATTTGGTACCTATCGACGGTTACGTAAAAGCTACGTTAACATACTTTAGTTAGATTTTTTTTTTTGTTTTTTTTTTTTATTTATTCAGTAAGAAGTACAGTGAATATGAATGTAGACAAACAATCATTAATATAAACTTCGAAGGATTTAGACTTTCAGCGATTCTACCTTTTTCTATTTCACTCGAGAGGTTGCCAGATTGTGCGATAGATGTGAATATTTTACATGGATTTGAATTGGGAAAAGCGCTAAAAAAGCAACTTATCTGGCAACAATAGAGTCCGAGAGGGACGAGAGGCTGCCTTCCTGGGAAAACCCATGATTTAGCCGGAAATGTCATTAAAAAAATTGATTCCGTTTGAAGCATCAATTGTATACTAGGGGAAAGCTATTTTAAAATAATAATTGTAAATGGACAAAGATGCTACAGAAAAGGAAAAAGAAAAAAGGAAAAAGAAAAAAGGAAAGGGAAAGGAAATGAAATGAGGATATGATTACTAATATGCAATCAGGGAGAATAAAACAAAAACATCAGAGAAAATACGCGATGAAAATATAAGAAAAAAACACGAGTGGGCTCATTGCGATTCGGAACTCGAACTATACTATCGTTGAGCAGTTTTTGACCCCTATATGCCACCGATAATCTTCTTAAGAGGTAAAGATGAACTTTTGCTACTTCAACAAGTCAAATCGGGGAAGGAGATCCATGGATTGTCTTTTTCCACTACCCAATGGGATGACGATCCAGTCAAATGCGCTTTTGAAGAGATGATCGATCCCCATCATCGCTTCATCTCCATACATCTATTCATGTGCAAATGTTGGCATGCTCCGACAACAAGGTTCTATACCGTGACGAAATCACTTTTGCCTCCAGAGTCTCCAAAATGTACATACATCTTAGTGATATGTCCAATCACTGAGAAAAATAGCTCGCGGAGCGAGCCGAATGTCACTCGCGTAGCGAGTGATCGGGGGTCCAGAACGGCTGGTAATCTATATGCTTACAACTATTCTAATCTTGTTTATGGAATACATTGTCTGATTAATTAGGTAGTTTATATGCATGCTTGTTTACATCTTAATTATCCTAGACCTACCTTAGTTAGATTAGAACACGTACCTATGGATATTTTTCACAAATCGGCATATGCTTTCTTCTATCTTCGTAATTTTCTTTGTCCAATTTAAAAAATGGAAAAGTTTAATTTAGTTCCTATTTTACATGTCTGTTCACAGAAATGCCAGTCAGAAAGTCTATGGATTGTGAAAGCCCGAAGTGCAATCGAAGATGTTGAAAGGCGATTCAAAATAGCAAGAGTTACACTCTCAAATGAAGAGGCAGCAGGTGCTACCGACGACTTTGAATACAGCAGAAGACTTAGGGAAAAACGCTGGAAAACGATCTTTAAAGATCATAAGGGCAACTGGGAGATAGATGAGTTAATAACTAAAATTCAAAGCAAGAACAGCGATGTGAAAGCGTTAGAGGATTTTGCAAAAGACATTTCTGTGGCTTACTCGTTATTATCTGATGACATTCAAAATACAATGTTAACAAAGGGTACGATGACCGGTCCGTCACTTACTGTATATTTAACGAAAAATACGAAAGCAAGTTCTGCGGTCGAATTGTTACTGTCCTTGTATGATTTCGAGCCTCCCTGCCACGCGGGAAAAAAAGCAATGCCAACCCTAATACCAGTGAAAATTAACGATTAAACCGATGGCGGAGAAACTAACAAGAAAACAGATCAATGTAAACTAGAAATTACAGTTAACATGTGTAAATTTATGTTAAAAATAGCTAACAGACATCATTGGTTTCTTTCTCGTTAAAAATGGGAATAAAGCAGGAACGATAATCAGTCTATATGAATTTTACAATTGAATGCGGCGCACCGGCGCACTGTTGACTAACTTCTCGAAAGAAAAATGAATTTCTAAGGAAGTCTGCAACGTCGCAAAAGGAGAAACGTCGTCTCTCATTTTGCCCAAAAAAATGTATGTATAAAATTGAAGGCATTATGACTGGCCCCTCTGAACTTATATTCGTCTGTAACGATAAACAATGGGACGCTTTTGCTACGGCGCCTTGATACAACTATACAACCTCGACGGATGTCCGCATTGCGTTCAAAAAATTGAAGGCGTTTTGACTGCCTGCTCATACTACCTGTAGTTGATTCGATCGACAAACGCGTTAGTCGGCGGTGACGGGGACATGATGCCTTTTTTTAAACTTGATGGATGTTCGTATCGCACCGACTGAAGCGCGAAACCACGTATCTTCATTGCGGTGTTTCAAAATTTCCGTTCTTAATTCAACTCTTCCATGAGAAACAATCCAAATTTACTACTTTAAATTTTGAGCCAAATCTTCTGCTATCGAATCCGAAGAATCATGGAGAATTTAAATTTTATGTTGACCAATTTCTCGAAAGGAAAATGAAATTTCTAAGGAAGTCTGCAACGTCGCAAAAGGAGAAACGTCGTCTCTCATTTTGCCCAAAAATATGTATGTATAAAATTGAAGGCATTATGACTGGCCCCTCTGAACTTAAATTCGTCTGTAACGATAAACAATGGGACGCTTTTGCTACGGCGCCTTGATACAACTATACAACCTCGACGGATGTCCGCATTGCGTTCAAAAAATTGAAGGCGTTTTGACTGCCTGCTCATACTACCTGTAGTTGATTCGATCGACAAACGCGTTAGGCGGCGATGACGGGGACTTGATGCCTTTTTTTAAACTTGATGGATGTCCTTTTCGCACCGACTGAAGTGCGAAACCACGTATCTTCATTGCGGTGTTTCAAAATTTCCGTTCTTAATTTAACTCTTCCACGAGAAACAATCCAAATTAACTACTTTAAATTTTGAACCAAATCTTCTGCTATCGAATCCGAGGAATCATGGAGAATTTAAATTTTATGTTGACAAATTTCTCGAAAGAAAAATGAAACTTCTAAGCAAGTCTTGCAACGTCGCAAAAGGAGCAACGTCGTCTCTCATTTTGCCCAAAAATATGTATATTTAATATTGAAGGCATTATGACTGGCCTCACTCAACGTATATTCGTATATGTAACGATAAACAATGGAACGCGTTTGCAACGCCGCCTTGATACAACTATACAACCTCGACGGATGTCCGCATTGCGTTCAAAAAATTGAAGGCGTTTTGACTGCCCCCTGATACTACCTGTAGTTGATTCGATCGACAAACGCGTTGGTCGGCGGTGACGGGGACTTGATGCATTTTTTTAAACTTGATACTTGGAAGGACTTGCGTCCTTTTCGCACCGACTGAAGTGCGAAACCACGTATCTCTATTGCGGTGTTTCAAAATTTCCGTTCTTAATTCATCTCTTCAATATTAAGCTTTAGTATCAATATATCTCAATATATTAAATTTATAAGAATCTCGTTCATTAACATCGTAAATGCTGCGTCGAAACGATTACGGCAAATCACGCACCAGTCGCATTTCGCCACGCCGCTCGATGCGCCGCAAGGAGGGGTTGCGAAAAACATGCCCACGCCTCGCAGGATGCCCACCATTTGAACACGGATTCTCCATGACTGAAGACAAAAAATAGTGTATTTCCTTCGGAAAATACACTAAAAATTGCGAGACAACGACTGTCGACGGTGCATTACGCTTCCGCAGTAAATCCATCATCCACGGCCATTTCCAGGGAAACGAACGAACCGGGCAGCCGAGTCATCAGACCAAAGAAAAATAGGACGGGAAGAAAGAAAAACCGCGCATCTCCCGACGGGACCAACGGGACAACCGTTTTTCCCGAGGAGGCGAGGGGGGCCGGGCACGCCGGCCGATCCCTATATTTTCCCGCCATCGGGGGACCGGAACGGTCGAGCCGGTACCACCCGCGCACGGATCGGCCCGGCGGTTCGCGCTGAATTTTGACGCAAAGAAAAGGCTTACGGAATTATATATGGTGATTCCTTGAACATCGAGCGAAGCTTGACCCAAGCTTGTACTATACTCAACACAAGCTCGTGAGAAGTAGCCCGTCACGAATGAAATCCAGAGGGTTATGTCTCGTCTGAACTTGGCATATTCTCGAGGTTTGTCAAGAATTTTTTCTCTTACCCAAGAAGCAAAATATAATTTTTTTCTAGAGAAAAAATATTAAGAAAACTTCTAGAAAAAACAAAGAAAATGAGAGCTATCCAGAAAATAGAAAGAAAAAACTTTGCGAGTCAAAAGTCTGACCAAAGAAAATAGATCTTTTTCAAAGATCTATACTTTCTGTCAACTTCCCATTTGAAAAAAATATAGAAAATTTATTGAAAGTAGAATTATTTTCCAGCCAATCTCTTAATGTTTTCTTTTGAGAGAATGCAAGGAAAAAATGAATTTTCTTTCTATTTTCTTGTGTCCATTTCCTAGATCTACTTTATACCTATTTTCTTTCAAGAAAATTGTTCTATCTAGAAAGTAGACATTTACTTGATGAACGCCACCTAGAAAGTAGATGTCAATGCAACTTGGGTAGAAGCAATTTAAGAATCTACAGTTCCATTCTCTAAATCACGATGAAAACTGCAAATTGTATGGGTCGCTAGGGATGGAAACAACTTAAGGAGGGGGAAAGACACCGACATTTATCAAACACAACTTTATTTTCACAAAAATAAATTTTGAACAATTGGCCAGAATTACAACATTTTGAACGTTAAAATAATTGTTGGTGTTGACTTTCATATGCGATATATTTTTAAATGCTAATAAGTATACTGATGAAAAAGAGTGTAATCGTACGTTTGTAACTATATAGGTAATGGAATTATCGCCAGAGTTTCGATTATTTTTGTAGTTTACTTACTCACTTATTCTATGTATTGATTATGAAACCAGACATTCCCTAAATATCTATAGGAGCTTAGGTTCAGTTTCATCATAGTAAAGGAATAGGAATGAAAGCAAAACGCTTGTTTAATCTACGTGAATGTATGTACATCTGCGGTAACTCGAAGTTTAGTTGGCACCTATATTTCTAAGTCACTTTAAGAACTCTAAAAATTAATTTTTTGAAATCAAGAACTAATTTGGTCAAAGCTGTTTTCTTGACCAAAAGACTCTCAATATTTATTTATATCATCACCGATGTAAAATAACTACATAGGAATACAGTCAATGGATATTTTAGACTCAGTTAGGCAAGACATTCAGGTATCTAAAATAAACTAAAAATTAACAAAGTATATGAATATTTACAAGGAAATGTAACCTCATAGTCTTTGATACGAGGGCGCTTAGGAAAAAGTATCACGAAGTATCTTTGTGCGAACGAGAGAGACAGACAAAGCTACATTTTTTTTTCTATTCATGGACTAAAATTACTATCTGAATATTATTTTTTCAATTTTTTAAAAGTATCTTGTCTCCTTCACTGCCCAAAATGAAGTTCCGATGGTTCAATACAAAGAAACTGACCAACCGAATACTGATCACCTGCAACCTCGAGTCGCCCTACGGAAAATACCGTATGGATTCTCTAATAGGACGTATTTCTATTAAACGGAACTATGTACATTAAGACATGAGCCCTGAGACCCATGAGAATATATGCATTACAGGGCTCACGTCACAATACACATAGTTCCGTTTGATAGAATTACGTCCAATTAAAGTTCATCGTACATTTTCCCTTTTTGAGGCAATACCACACAATTATCAAAGTCATAAAGAACTTACATGGAAGCATCAAAGACTTTCATCATCTATTTAAACATGGTGGTGGCGGTATTTAAAATTTCTATAAAATAAGAATCACCTTTAAACCGTGCATTGTGCACGGTATTTAATGCACGGTATAAAGGTGACTCTTATTTCATAGAAACATTCATTATCCGTACATTAAAGTCCCATTTCATGGAGGCAGCCATTTGCACCATACACTGAACATTTGGATCTTACATATTTTTTCGTCAGAAGATGGTAGAACAGTGCTGGGTCCACATTATTCTGAAAGGAAACCAAAGCCAGGACATGATCCCAAAAATAATTGGCTAGGGATTGTTTATTTATGGCTTTGATTTCACAGCATATTGGTTTAGGCCTCGCAATTTCCTACCATTCTATGACTTATGCATGATGCGGGTCATTTTTTAAAGATATTTTTTATCTCTTTTTTCGTAATTCTCATTATTTTTTTCCTTAAAAAAAGAAAATAAAAACGGAATGTTTCTAGTCCAAAGAATCATAGCAAGGAACATTTCTTTTTCTACTCTCTTCTACTCCTCAACTTTCATTCTTACTAATCAAGCGAAAATTTTGTTTTGATTGTTTTTGTTTATATCACACAAGAACTGGTTTGAGGTATGTTATTTGGACTGCATTGAATAGAAAGAGGTCAACAGGATACTCGCACCTAGCTTCAAATGGGTAAATATCAATAATCGATCATTCACGCCCTTGTCACTGTTCAATACAACTCGGTTCCTTGCTGCGGGCCGATTATTGAAACTGACAGACAAAGCTATTGACAAAGACGACAAAAGGGATTTGGAGGGATCCTATTGGTAGAAGCTGGCGGTGGCAATGGACATAGGATGTTGGTAATGGACTGATGACTAACGGCAACCCACTAAAGACCCGACAGTTAGTCCATCATTTTCTTCCTTAGTCTACAAGAACCAACCATGTCAACCAATGAGATCGCTCCATACTCCCTATGTCTTCTTTGTCTATTGCTTTGTCCATCAGTTTCAATAATCGCCCCGCTGTTCTGCCTGACTGACGAAAAACGACGTACGAATCTTCAAACGCTGCCAAATCCTCGGTGAAAAAACATTCATTTGTAATAAAACTTGATAATTGTTCTCTTCCACTTTTCAGAGACATTTATTGTGTAATTTGATCTGAAGTGTGCGAAAATTGGAAAGTTGATATTCATAACTTTTCTCGAAAATTGGTGTTTTATCAGAAAAATCTGACAACTTTCGAATGTTCATACGACGTTTTCTCTCAGCTGTTCTGCTAGGGTAAAACGTATTATGAACCCTCACGCGTTGCCAAATTTCCTTTGATACAACACGAATTTCCTGCTAAATTTATAAATATTTTTCTCCTAATTTTGCAGATAATTTTGCTCACAATTTCTACTCAAGCTCCTGAAAATTCCAAGGGAAATTTTTCACAAATTACCTCGATAATAAACATTTTGTAGAAGGAAATCTGGCAACTCTTGAATGCGCATACGGCGTTTTTCCTTAAGCTCTCGTCCCACGATCAAATGAACTCATCAAATAGTCATCAAATGAAAGATGGCGGGTTCATCGACATTTGACGGCCCGCTAATGGCCTGGTTACATGATCAAACTCCCGTCAAATTCCGATCAAAATGATGACCAAGATGGCGGTCGAGAGTTATCTAGATTGATGAGTAAAATTAATTAAAACAGCGTGTTGATTGAAATAAGCATGAAATAAGCACGGTTGTGTGGAAATCAGATGAAGGGTGAGCCCCACAGTTCCATCATCTACCATCAAATTTTTGCAGGCCGCAGAAATTTGATGTTAGATGGTGCGCACCAGTCACCGTTTGATCGGAATTTGACGGGAATTTGATCGTGTCCAGGCCATAACATTTGATAGCGGACTTGCGCGAAAACCAGTACGCATCTCCGCCATCTTGCATTCGATGAGTTCATTTGATCGCGGGACGAGGGCTTTAGCACGGCAGTGTTGAGCTCAGTCCTTTTGCACTCTTGGTGCTTCGAAAGTAATCATCGACTACGAGGAAGAGAGTGCGGTGTAGCTAGTTTTGACGTTGCTCTTCTCGGGCTGGTCGCCCGCTTCCGGTGAGGTCGGGGTGTTGCTGAATTTGACCACCTCCTCGCTGGCTGCGCTAGCGTCGGAGCCGAGATCTCCGCTTTCGTGGCCGGTCTCCTCGCCGTCGGCGTCAGTTTCCCGTTTCCGGGATCTGATGCCCAATTTCAGCCGGAAAAGCGGCTTCAGCGCCTCGATCAGCCGCGCTATCCGCCCTGCGAAGTTCTGAAACACACAAGCACGCCTCATTTAACGACCAATAGGACGTATTTCTATCAAACAGACCTATGTGCAAGTGAGAAATATTTGGTGTGCTCGTTAGTTCTCTTTGAGTGAGAGTGAATGAGAATAATAAAGCGCTGGTGACGCACTGGAAAAAAAAACATTGGATCTAGAGTCCAGACTCTTGAAAACATTGACAAGAAAATGGACTCTTGATTCAATCAGATTTAAGCTTAAATCAAAAAGGAAATCCGCTCAAATTAAGAGGCTTGGCTCTTGATTTAAGCAAAATTCCGATTGAATCGAGAGTACTTTTTCTTGTCGATGTTTTTAAGAGTCTGGACTCTAGATCCAATGTGTTTTTTTGCCAGTGCGTTGAACCGCCGTCGGCCCGCTTCCGCTTCCACTTTAACTCATGAGCCCTGTCCACAACGCTCTCGTCCCATCCTCGCGGCTCATGACTGCCGCATTCAGTTGCCACATAGTTCTGTTTGATACAAATAGAATGTAATATCCCGCTTTTCCAATCCTCCAAAAGGAATCACGCCCTCTTTTACATTATTTCTTATGCAGATTTCTAGAGCACACCCCATATTTCTCACCTGCTCACAGTTCTGTTCGATAAAAATACGTCCAATAGAGAATTTACAGGTGTCTGAAATTTGATGGATTTTGTGTTTAAGGTGATGCGTCAAGCTCAAGTGAAGCGGTCGAACTAACATGCGATAATAGCATCGATTAGGTAAAAAATCTCGGGAGATTTTGAATTTTTAGTAAGAAAAGAACGAAAGCCCCTGTGCATGAGCCTAAAGAATCATTCTGAACCTAAAAATCGGCCAAATTTAGGGAAATGAAATAAGCAGAATAGCGCGTTTGGAAGAAACCTCGCATTCGATGCACATAATACAGCTGAATCGAATATGCGAATTTTTTTTCCAAACACTATTCTACTTTCATTTCCCTAAATTTGGCAGATTTTTAAGGTTAGAATGATTCTTTAGGCTCATGCTCAGGAGGGGCTATATCGTCCTTTTTTTTTGCTAAAAATTCAAAATCTGCCGAGTTTTTTGACCTAACCGATGCCATCGTATTCCAGCTCAACCACGTCACTTGAGCTTGACGAATCACCTTAAGTGGAAACTACTGAGGGAACTGAACACGAGGTTCACGAATTGAACAATTATTGGAGAAGACATGACAAAATGATCTTATCTGCTAAGATACGTGTGTTTAAATGGGAAATGCCACCAGATGATGTCTCTAGGCGGTGCATTTTTTCACTTTTAAATATATTTGTATACTATTTTCCATATCAGAAAAAATTACAAAAAATACTATGAAATGAGCTCTTTAAGCTCTTTCAGATGAAGCAATAAACAATTTGCATGCAAATTCTCCATTTACTATGCTCGCTTAAGATAAATCTCCAGTCATTGTGCTTCGATCATTACGTACTACTTGCTAAGGAAAAGCCTTGTTAGCCAGCAGATGTTGCCATATTTCCTTCAATATAAATCAAAACCGGGAAAATTGTGAACATTTGTTCTCAGAGTTTTCAGACGCTTTGGTTCGCGATTTAATTTAATTTATCTGAAAATTTCATGGAAAACTATGCAAAACTTTTCTTACAATTGCATGTTTCATTTGATAAAAATGTGTCAACTCTCGAATGTTCATGCGGCGTTCTTCCTTAGCATTGCAGATTAAGCATAATTTTAAAGTTTTAAATTATGCGCACCGATTGACATTGATGATGTAAATACACTTTCTGAGAATTTTGTTGAATTTTCACTTGAAGCCGGTTTAGAGAGGGCGAAGGTTAGAAATCAAGCAATAAAAGAGAAGGTTAACATCAGTTCGAGGTGTCTAAAGTATATCGGCAGCATAACTTTGGAAATAGACCCTTCCAAGGCATTGAAATGATGATCAAATGATTGATTGAAAAAATAGACTAAAACATAATTGCCAGTTTTGAAAATCGTATACGGCACGTACGTGCCTACCTTAAATTGTTTCAAAATCATTGACATTCTCTTCCAAAGTTTATATTGTTTGTAGTGTCCAATGATTGCAATCCCTCGCAAAGGTCTATCTCCAAAGTCTTATTGTTGAATTTGACACATTTCTGCTAAACAGAACTAGAGCAGTGGCGTGGCATGAATGATCGATTTTTCTCCATTTGAAGCTGTAGTATAGAATCGATTATCAAGCTGTTCTCAGCGAACACCTTGATAATCGATGCTACTCCATAGATTTAAATGGCAGATCAATCGATATATCGCAAAGCACGCCACGCCACGGAACTATAGAGACGGGTGCGGGAGTCAATCCGCCATTTTTAAAACTGATGATGCCAAATACAAGAATCTTGATCTCACTTAGGAGATCAATTCTCGAGATATCAATTAAAACCAAACATGGAGCGTGCTCTAGAAAGCTGGATAAAAATGTAAAAGTACATTACATCAAACGGAGCTAAGCGCTGAAATGGAGTATTTATGCTAAAAGGAACTATGTTACACACAATCCCTATGAACACAGTTCCTTTAAGCATAAATATGTCCAAATATGTAGGAGTCATGAGCCGTGGACATATGTGACAAGAGCGTTGTGGACAGAACTCATGGGTTATAGAGGCTCAGGGGTGATTGCGGCGGCGGCTTCGTCGTCGGTGACGTCACTGGCGCTTTATAATTCCCATTCATTCGCCACAGCCCTCAACGAACGAGCCCACTCCATCTTTCCCAACCGCCTTTGGTTTCTTATAGCAGAAATACGTTCAAATCTCGAGATTCGTCAAAATTGGACGTATTTCTGCCAAACGGAACTACGTGCATTCAGACATGAGCCCTGAGACCCGTAAGAATATATGCGCAACCTGACTCACATCATAATTGTAATGCACAAAGTTCCGTTGGGCAGAAATACGTTCAATTGTCTTTTCCATCCTACGATTTTAAGAGTCTCTTAATTGAACGCCCCTCGATTACAATGTAAAGCATGGCTTACTAATGGAAGGAGCTGCATGTTCAAAAGAACAACTATGAATGAATACTTGGGTATCCTGAGCACTGCCGTGCTAAGGAAGAACGCCGTATCAACATTCTAGAATTGCCAAATTTCCCCGAATAAAACATGTATTTTTGAAGAAAGTTATGCGTATGTTTCCTCAAAATTTTCCGAAATTTTAGTTTAAATTGGGAACAAAATTGTTTGAAAAATTTGAAGAAAAATATTCAGAATTTTTCCAGTGAATTCGTTGGTTATCAAAGAAAATATGGCAACGCCTGAAGGCTCATAAGACGTTCTTCCTTAGCACGGTAGAGGAGTGGCGTGGCATTGCGATGTATCGATTCATACCGGCATTAAAGAATCGATAAAGAGGGTGTTCGCAACGAAGACCTCAGTAATCGATTCTTTATCATAGCTTCAAATGGGTCGATATAGATAATGATGAATCATTGACGCCTTGCCACTGATCTTGAGGCGTTTTTGTGGTTTTTCAATGGGTGATGGTTCAATGGGTGATGGTTCAATGGGTGATGGTTNTACTTGGGTATCCTGAGCACTGCCGTGCTAAGGAAGAACGCCGTATCAACATTCTAGAATTGCCAAATTTCCCCGAATAAAACATGTATTTTTGAAGAAAGTTATGCGTATGTTTCCTCAAAATTTTCCGAAATTTTAGTTTAAATTGGGAACAAAATTGTTTGAAAAATTTGAAGAAAAATATTCAGAATTTTTCCAGTGAATTCGTTGGTTATCAAAGAAAATATGGCAACGCCTGAAGGCTCATACGACGTCCTTCCTCAGCACGGTAGAGGAGTGGCGTGGCATTGCGATGTATCGATTCACACCGGCATTAAAGGATCGATAAAGAGGGTGTTCGCAACGAAGACCTCAGTAATCGATTCTTTATCATAGCTTCAAATGGGTAGATATGGATAATGATGAATCATTGACGCCTTGCCACTGATCTTGAGGCGTTTTGTGGTTTTTCAATGGGTGATGGTTCAATGGGTGATGGTTCAATGGGTGATGGTTCAATGGGTGATGGTTCAATGGGTGATGGTTCAATGAGTGATGGTTCAATGGGTGATGGTTCGATGGGTGATGGTTCGATGGGTGATGGTTCGATGGGTGATGGTTCGATGGGTGATGGTTCGATGGGTGATGGTTCGATGGGTGATGGTTCAATGGGTGATGGTTCAATGGGTGATGGTTCAATGGGTGATGGTTCAATGGGTGATGGTTCAATGGGTGATGGTTCAATGGGTGATGGTTCAATGGGTGATGGTTCAATGGGTGAAGGTATACCTGAAGGACGTTGCCGATGATCTGCGAGGCTCCGTTGACGACGTTGAAGGCGGGCCCCACGAAAGTGTTGGGGATCTGAAGGGCCACCTTTTCCCGGTCGAAAGGCGGCAGCTCCGTCGTCGTCGAGTTGTCCCCGCTGTCGTTGTCCCGTCCCGCGCTCCCTGCATTGCTCCCCCGGCTCCCCTGAAACAATTCCAAAATCCATTCATCATCATCATCGCTTCATCTTTAATTTATTTAAAATACTCGTCAAAACAATGAGAGACATCCTCAGGTCCAAATTTGGAGAAGAGACAAATGGACGGAGTTAAACAGAAAGGAACCAAGCCACATCGGGATCGAACGGAGAAAAAGAGGTTTAAAGTTTGGCTCCTGCACAAGACTCAATGTAAAAGATAAACTTCCAGTTCAATTTCTGTAAAATTTGCTCCAACAAAAACTTTGAATTTTTGGCGATAGATAGTAGAGCAGTGGTCGAGTTCAAATCCACTCATAACTCAATTTTTTTCAAAATGTGGGTTGATTCCTTTCTGCTTAACTCAGTCCAAATATTCCGAACCTTGGCGTACATTGATTGACATCGGAGATCCATCGATATATCGTGTGAAAAAATAAGTCATTTATATCATAAAAATACGAAGGGATTCATTTTTTAAGCACGCATATGAACGAAGAAAAAAAGAAGGAGGGGGGTATGGGTATTAGACGGAAGATATCTACCTACGTCAAAATTTTTAAAAATAACATGAAATTTCTCAACCTATTCATGCCTTCATCATATGTCTACTTTTGTTGTGTTTTCATCTTCTTCCGGGCCTTGATCTACTCATGTATCACAATATATAATTCCGTATGATCGATTCTTCGGGTCAAAATTCAACGGGAACCGCCAGGCCGATCCGGGCACCGGCTTGAGCGTCCCGGTCCCTCGATGGCCGGAAAACTAGAGAGATGGCGCCAAGGATCCCGCATCCCTTGCTCCCTTTTCAAAGATCGGTTATCCCGATCGTCCCGTCGGGCGATGCGCCATTTTTCCTTATTTCCGGGTGCTTTTTTTCGCTCAGTTGATGACTCGACTGCCCGCAGCGTTTGTCGTCGTGGAAATCGCCGTGGATGATGGATTTACAGCGGAAGCCTACTTCAAAATGTTACGTAAATTAAATATAAGCCCTGGATAGACGATCAAATTCCCGAACCAATTCCGATCAAAGTAGCATCAAAGTGTCGGGAGTCATCAGTCTTAAACTCATTAATTTGCTTCATTTCAAAATGAAAACTTGGCAGAAATGTTTCCTGTTGCAGGGAATGATGAATGGTGGCACTCCGTTCTGATCTTATTTTGAACGAAAAAGTGCGGCCCGTCATTTGATGGTAGATGGTGACCACCTGTCATCAGCATGTCTACTTTGATCGGAATTGGTTCGAAATTTGATCGTCTATCCAGGGCTTTATTCACACAACGGGGAGTTCGGAGATCAACTTTCGAACGAGATATATAAACAAATCGATGACCAAAATGCGAAGCCACGGATCTCCTTTTGCGACGTTTCAGAAGCAAACTCCCTGCCATACTCGACGTAATTTATTTAAAACTATCTTGATTTTTCTCGCTTTTGGTAGAATATTCTATGTATATTTCAAGTTATGAGGTTAGCTTCTTTCTCAATTAAAAAAATTGAAAAAATGAGTGAACAAAAAATAGGAAAATTCCCACAATCCTTCAATCCTAGGATTGCAGGCTCGCAGTGTGAACATTAATAGGCGACAAGGATATCGATCTCTTGACGTCAAGCTTGAAGGATCGAAATCTTAAGCCTAGATTGACTCCTAATCGTGGTAATAACGTTTTTCATGAATAAATTCAACCTTTCCGCTCATGGAAGAAAGAATAATTTATTTGGGTTAAATTGCACGCCTAACTTCACTATGTTAGTCTCAGTAAGATGAAAATATGGCAGCCTCAATCTTGACGCTTAGCTCAAACTGTACACACTTTTAACAACACAGTGTGGGAAAGAAACAATGCTCGATTGAGTAGTCTGCTAAAGCCGTTGTTGTGCGCAATTTAACTTACGTATGGTTTCGCTTTTCATGTGACCGGGCAATTTAAAGTTCCCCTCAATAAAAACGTCAATATCTTAGCTAGAAGTTGATTTCAGTAGTTTTCGCTGCACCAATCGTGTTCTACGTGAAATTTTAATGAAGAATCACGTATCAGAGTGCTAAATTTGAACCTTGTTTATTAGTCCATTCAATCTAAAAAAACGAAAACACAGAACTTTCCTATAACTTTTCTCAGAGAAAATGTTTCATCGGGAGAAACGAGGCAACGTTGGAGTGCTCATACGGCGTCGAAACACAACATGGGCCTATGAAGCCCAATTGTTCGATGCCGCGATTACCCTAACGCGAGTTCCAATAATCGCGCCAAACACGGCAGTGCGGTTGGCGTAAAACTCTTGTCAGCGCCTGCAAGACTGCAGGAATACTTCATGCATTGCGCCAAACAGTGCGGTCAGCGTCAAGCGCATGTTAAGGCCTACTAGACTGCATCAATACTTCTCGCATTGCACAAAAGCAATGCGAGAATTATTTGCAGCTAAAGGGTAAATATGTATCTTAATTGCAACGATGCAGAAACTCGGACGATGTTTTTACGATGCAGCAATTCTGAAACCTGAATTGCATTAAATTAATTTTGGTTTCATAAAAAAATAAAAAATAAAAATTAAAAAAAAAATAAAATAAATAACGATAATAATAAAAAAACAGAACTAGGTAACGAACGAAAATATCGCGTCAAAATTTTTTGTGATTTTATTTTAAATCATTCCAGGAATTTTGAAACTTGAAAAAAAACAAAACAACTTTGGAGCCCTTTATAAACACTGTGTGTGTAGCTTTTTAAAAAAGATGTTCAAAAAACAAAAAATAAAAATGGGTGCATAACCTTCCAATCAAAGATAAATACGCTCTCTTTCGCGTGCACCCATCGGCTTTTGAATCCATTCATCTATGAAATAAATTGAACATGGTTGTTTTACGATTTTTTACGTACGTGTAGCTTTTTTTTCAGTGGTCGGCGACCGCGTAGCGGCCACAGGCCCCGAGTGTGTATATAAATCGATACATATCTCAAATCGATTCATCAATGCTCAGTACTAACTTTCGAGAGTATTTCAGATACCCCCGAGTCCAACATATCGGCCAAAAGAAAATAGAGTTTTAAAACTCTTTAATTTATGCAACCTCAAAAATGAGTAAAAAGATAGATGTCTCCTCAACTCTAGTACTTTAATCCTGGGACCTCTTGACTAGTTCAAAGTTATCCTCTCCTGATTCATCTTTCAATTTCACTTAGTGGAGATGTTGATGATGACTTTTTGACCATTTCTTTTTCGATAATTAGGTCATCTCCTCCAACTTTGTGCAACCTTGAAAAAGAGTAAAACGGTCGATATCTCTTCAACTCTGGGACTTTAACCCTATGAGGTCGCATATCCACCTACTGACCGAATTCCTTTTCCATCAGGGGTTAATAGGTCAGCGTCGTTTCAATTCTGGTATACTTTAACAATGTGACTCCTTTGACTAGCTTAAAAATAATTTAAAATTGCTGTAACCTGCACCAGTAAAAATGGGTGAAATTAACTCTAAGTCTGGCAAGAGTGGGTTTTTTTTTTCTTTTTTTTTTTACCAAGAGGCATCGATTGCCGCCGATGGACAGTGGCATTTAAAACGTTACTTTTTTTTGACGCACCCTAGGACCCACGTTATAAAGGACTTGCAAATATGACCTTGGCATGTCCCGCTTATTCCGTAGACAATTCCGTGTCCGTCCATCCGCCCTGACCCCTTAAGAGGACTTTATAAAAGGTTACAATTGGGCAGAACGACGTACATGAAGAGAATTTTTTTTTTTTTTTTTTTTTAATATTTTAGATATTCTTTTCCTCGTACTTGTATGCATTAATACAACTTAAAGAAAATTATAACATTCGAACTCCTCAATCTCAACATCATAGGAGGATTAAAGAGCCCATTTCTCATAACACGTGTAAATGGTATGACGATAGCATAACGATGGTGAAATTGCAGAACTGCGCATATCGATTTCGACAGTTTTGAGTTAGCTGCATAAACGTGTTGTTGAAGATGTCGTCTATCTGCCAGCAAGAGGCTACAATCGAAAAATATCGGGAAGTCACCTAAACAGAAGAACTTTTTTTGCGTATCGCGGGCTTAAGTGTAGAAATGTGTATCTCGTTCTGGCCCCTTCATTATTGATCCGGCGCGCCTCTACACACAACGCGCGCTTCTCAGCGTTTCCCACCAACAGCATACATCAGCTCATCACCTGTTCTGTGTTTTTATTTACTTTCAGGAATTCTCTGATTTTGGAAAGTTGCTAAGAGGGCCCTCCGGTCTCATTTATGCATAGGTACTACCGGCGTGCGGCCGGTAGTTGCAATCAAGTCATACAATGCTTCATCCATTCCTGGATCAACTAAAGCTGCTAAACAAGTATTACAGTATAAATACAATCTATTTTTGACCAAGAGCAGGTTCAAGACGCTAATTGCAGAATGTGTATCTCGTGATTTAATGTCATTTTTCAATCGTACAATCTTGATCCGGCCGTTTGAGATCAAACTTAAGCTTCTGATAAGGAATTGAAAGCGCGAAACTCTTTTTTCAGTCTTTAAATTATTGAAATCCGCCAACAACAGGTTTAAAACACTGTTTGCAAAAATGCGTATCTCGTGATAAAGTGTCAATTCTTGGTGCCGAAAACGCGTAGGTATTTCGGCATTTCGGCCGCATCTTCTAGCAGTTCGAGAAATTATTCAAAATGCTGATGGAGTCTAAAAAAGCATATTCTCCATGTAGTCCTCAAGAATTCTTACCCTTCTACTGACAATAAGGAGGAATGTAGACAGTTTTTTTTTTTACTCTTCTGGAAAATCGTGTTTTCTGGGATACGCACCACTGCACTTTCACCATCGATAATTATTTAGGTAAGGTTAATCTCTAAACTCCGGTAGCATTTACTATACTGCGGCATGGGAGTGCAAAATGTTCACGAGCCAATGACCGGTCAGACGTTTGCAAACTGCGTAGGCAGTGTAAAAATTGCACAGGTTAAGTCATTATCTAATTGGTAATGTAATATTTATCACGTT